GTGAGCTCAAGGTATATCATACACTCATAATATCGTAACATTTTTATGGAATCGTATAAAGTTTATCACATTTTCCATAACAACACCAAACATATGATAATACAATTGATCGACATTTTGAGTTATTGTCGATTAAAAAAATTAAAACATTTTAATTCAATGTTTAAATGGGTATTAGATTCTTGAAATTCATAACATAAAACTTAATTTTTTGTAATTTGTGTGAAAAATGTCTACACTTTTGGATAAGTTTCGTATTTGCGATACGATTGACACGACTATTAGACATGAAATCAAATTATTTCATGTTTTCAAAGACTGGTGGAACCACATGAATATACTATTTGTCACAAACGATGACACCGTCTATGGATTGGGTGCTAATAATAAAGGATGTCTGGGTTTTGGTCATGACATGGATGTAAAAACACCACTAATTATACGGGAATTGTGTGGACAACGGATCCAACAGTTTATCAATGGATGCGACTTTGTGTTGGCTATGAATGAGGACAACCATGTGTTCAGTTGGGGAGACAATCAGATAGGACAGTGTGCTAGAGATGTGAGACCAAAAGGGGTTTATTTAAAACCACAACTAATATCACAATTAAATGACAAGAATATCGCATATATTTGTTGTGGTCGTCACCACTCCCTGGCCCTCACGACCGATGGAAAGGCGTACGGGTGGGGCTATAATGCTTGGGGACAAATAGGATGTGGGGACTTTGTAAATAATATAATGTGTTCACCAGATTTGATACAATTTGAAAACAATTATAAGATGAAAAATATATTTTGTGGTACCTGGAGTTCATTCACAATTACTTTAAAATGGTTTGGTATTTAGTTGGGGTTGTAATCGTGACCATCAATGTGGACATCAATCACAAGAAAACATTTTTATCCCCAAATTGATTCCACAATTAAATGATATCAAATCTATTTGTTCGACAATTATGCCTGATAATAATTTCACATGTTTTCTATCCAATAGTAATATAATTTATTTTTGTGGCAAATATACTGATGACATGAAACAAGTCCAAATAGAAATACTACCCAGACCAATTTCATTGAAATTAAACGTTCAACAGATTGATGAATTCCATTCATTTTATGTTCGAGATTTCGTATTAATACAAACTGATGACACAATTTGCCCACTTTTCTCACCAAACAAAGTGAAAAAATATAAATATAATAATTTTGGAGATTTTTATGCAGCTGAATGGCAACTAAGTTATAATACACTGCATATAAATATGAACATGGTCACAAATCTCTCTGAATCTGTAATGAAAACAAATTAAACGCCAAATATTCAACCAAAACAATATAATACTAATACAAATGAAGGTATTTTGTTATTTGTTTTTAGTTTAAATAAATAATATTATTGTTGTATTTGTTATAATTAATA